GATCAACTCCACACTTCCCGACATAGAATTTCCTTTAAGTTTTCTATATTTTCAGTGGAATTTTTATTTAGAACTGCTTATACACACACACACATAAATATATATTTTAAAATATGTTCATATTTAAACTGGGGTTTGAACCTGTGCTAGGCAAGTATTCTACCACCAACCTTCATGCTTCCCCTTTTTTATTTTATTTTTTTAAATTTTGAGGCTGGATCTCGCTAAATTGCCCAGGCTGGCTTTGAACTTGTGATTCTTCTGCCTCTGTCTACAGTGTAGTTGTAGATACATGAATTTTATAAAAGTTAATAACCTGATAAACTTGATAATATTTTGCTAATGTAATTAATTTTGGGTAAAAAAGAGAGTAGTAGCATATAGTCAAGTATCAAGTCCTTATTGAAAATGAAAAAAAAAAAGTAGTTTGTTTCCTCCTCTAAGATAAGAGAGTGAAAGATTTATTAGTTGAACATTAGGAAAAATTAAGGAGAAGAAACCTTAAGTATTCTGTGGAATTACTGTCCAACTGTTTTTACTTAATTCCTATTTTATGATAGAATTAAAATGTCTATTTTGATTTCTAATTGATGGAATTTGTAAATTGAGTATAGTTGCCGTTACTGTAGCCAAAGATAAGCTATCTAAAATGACTGATCTTTTCCCTGGCAAATTTTTATTTGGTTTATGGTGTATAGATTTGAAGGGGCAAGGATATCAGGGTACATATTTTGTGCATTTGTTTTCTGAATTTTTATTTGTTTGAATATTTGGAAACTATGGCTGACATCATTTGTCAAGTATAGTTCTAACAATGTGTGGAAATTGATAGAGTTAGCAATTATTTGGTCAAAGTTGTTTCATTATTTTAAAATGTTCTAATAAAGAGACTCTTAAAATAGAGTGGCTTACTTCAGAGAGAAGTGTCTTGACTCCTCATGGACCACCTGTCTGGTCTAGCTGGCTGGGGAGACTATTCCTTGAGGCACTTGGCTTCTATCCATTTTATTTTTCTATGAATTGCATCATTCTCCACTTCTGCATGATCAAAGTTGGACATTGATTTATCCATATTTAAAGCATATGATATGGGGAGAAAAGGAGCCTAGGACCAGGCATTTCCTGCTAAGTAAACAACTCATAAATTGAGCATAGATTATTTTCACTCATATTCCATTGCAAAGGAAGCTGAACATGCAGTCCCTAGCTTGAGAAAGGAGAAAGTTGACAAAGCGGACAGCTGGCAGGCCTCATCTCAGTGTCTAAGCTGGAAATCTAGATTCCAGTCTCCATATAGATCGTGTTTCTCCGAATTCTTGAGTTGAAAGTTGGAAGTCATTGCATTCAAGCCCTGAGAGAGATAAATATGTATCTTCCTCTTTAGCTTTTTGAGAAGAGAGAATTTAGAGGTCCTCCTGACTATTTGCCTTGGTGCCCTGAAACACTGAATCATGCAGTTCTTTACACTGCCTGCCCAATAGCAGGCACCTGATTTAAAACGATGTTAAATAAATGTGTCACACATGTATTAGGCTGTTAGGATGTTGCTAGTTAGTGAGAAAATATTCAGTAAATGTTTCTTGAAAATGGAATGAGTGGCTGATTAAATGAGTCCTCAATTACTAAGTATAAACAAGCTTTCCATTGAAAAATGGTGAGCTGAACACATGGATTTATTTCTTCCACCTCCAGGGACAGAGTAGAAAAGATAGACTACAAATCAAGTGGATCGGGGATGTAGCTCAGTGGTACTGCACCTGCCTAGCAAGCAAAAGGTTCTGAGTTCAATTTCTGATACTGGAAAAAAAGAAAAAAAAGAAGAAAGAAAGAAAGAAATGAAAGAAAGGAAGGAAGGAAGGAAGAAAGAAGGGAAGAAAGAGAAAGAAAGAAAGAAAGAAAGAAAGAATGAAAAATCAAGTATGATCCTGGAAAAAGTGTAGCTGGGGGCAACCTTAACCAAACAAGATATTTCAAAAAAAAATTCTTGGATAATAAAATATAGAACATAGAATAGCAGACAAATCGTGGATGTGAATACTCAGAAGAGGATGCAGACCGCAGGAATTCAGGTCTGAGACATGGCAGGGATAGCAAAGTATTAGAATGAGAAGAGGGTGGAACATGGAATGCTTTATTTAAAGTCTGTATGTTAATCTAACAGCTTTCCCCAAACTCCTTTCTTCTGTTACCCTCCAAGAGAAAAAGAAATCTGCCTTTCAGAGGCGGAGAACCTGCAGGACACACATGAAAAATACCACTGGAGGAATTAAAGTGTTTTAAAAAATCGTCGATTCTTTAAGATGGATTAAAGGTAAAGAAAATAAGGGGGCTTTTATCTTTTCTTAGGAACTGGATAGTGTCCCTCCAAAATTCCTATGTTGAATCCCTAACCACCAATGTGACCACATTTGTAGGTAAGATATTTAGGAGGTAAATTTGGGTTAAATAGGTCACAAAAACAACTTGATCCCACAGGACTATAGTTTTAGAAGAAGATGAAGAAGGGGAGGGGGAGGAACATTTTTCTTTCTCTTCTTTCTCTTCTCTCTTTCACTTTCTTCTTTCTCTCTTACGCCTTTTCCTCCCTCCTTCCCTCCCTCCCTCTTTCCTTCCTTTGGTACTGGGGATGGAACCACTGAGCTATTGTACTTCTCCAGACTTTTTTATTTTTTTAACATTTGAGATCCCTATGTCACTAAGTTGCTTATGTGGGACTTGAATTTGTAATCCTGCCTTAGACTCCCTAAGAACTGGAGTTGCAAGCTTGGACCACTGTGTTCTCTCTCTCTCTCTCTCTCTCTCTCACTCTCTGTCTCTATCTCTCTCCCTCCCTCCCTCCCTCCCCCCCTTCTCCCTTTCCCAGCTAGGAGGAGGGCCCTTTCCCAAATCTGATCAAGCTGATCCTGGATCTTCAGCCTCAAGAACTGTGAGAAAATAAATTTCTGTTGTTTTAGCCACCATTATATGGTATTTTGTTATGGCAGCTCGAACTGATGAATATATTTTTCATAATAAACCCTCTTTGATGCTTGACTTTTAATATTTTTGGAAATGTCTACATTACTTTGAAAAGCCAAAACAAAACAGCATCAACAAAAACAAATAAATGAGACCTTCAAGATGGTATAGACGGATTTACTCTCTTTTTTATAGTTGAAGAAAAGTCCTATGTGGGTTCATTTCTTTGCTATAATAAAATACCAGAAGCTGGTTACTTGTAAGGAAAATAGGTTTATTTAGCTCACAGTGTTGGGTGCAGAAAGTCTAAGGTGAGTGCCCTTTCCTGACTAGGGAGGCCCCTTGTCTGGCTCACAGCATGGCAGAGAAGTAGAAAGAGAAAAACTTCATATGGAAGGGGCCAAATGTGTGGTGTTTCTCACTGTATAGCAGCCCACTTTTATGAGAACCAACTCACCGTCTGACACCAGTGTTAACTCCTTCCACGGTTGGGAAGCCCCAGGATCCAACCACCTTCCCCTAGACCTCTCCCATCAGAAGTTCTGTGACCCCTCAACATCACCACCCTGGCCACCAAGCTTCTAGTGCACAAGTCATTGTGGGACAGACTCAAACCATGTCCAAACCATGCTAAGTCCTAAGAGCAAAAGGGTTTTCCCAGGATAGCCTAATTAGAAACACAGCTTGAATTAGAAGCTGTGACTTTTAAATTCCAAGACCAGGACTTCAAGTATATATTCTTTCATATACTTGCATTTTAAACGTATTTACTGGTTGAAATATTTTGAATAGTTTGAAAACTTACATCACATTCTGACTTAAGATTTCCCAGAGACATATATATAATTTTGATAGTATAAGATGCATTAATGAACTATATGGATTGCTTACATGGAGAAAATAGTGTGAAATATATGCATTATATACTCATTTCAAAGAATTTGGCAATATACTGAGCATCTTTCATGTTTAAAGGTTTGACAAATTGCCTCATTTAGTGAAAAATTATGAAAAGGTTGGTATTGTAGGTCTTCTATATATTCTCAGTGTGAAACTGGCAATCATTCCAACCTTCCTACACCTCAATTTCTCTATCTGTAACATGTGGACAAGGCTTGCAAACATTACAAAGATGTGGTGAACAAAAGAATTATAAATTATTGCAGATAAATATACTTTATAGGACTATTAAGCATGAGACAGAAGGATCTATAGACATGGTTTCTTTATCATTTCACAATCATGTTCATACTATTGACATTAACCCTTTCTGACTCTGTTTAGAGGTCTGATCAATTGTATTATGTACTCTATTTGGAATTGTGGATGCACAGACTTAGGTATTAGTGTAGAGAGAATTCTTCAACAAGAACAAATGGTTTCCAAGACTGCCACTTTTACTCTTCATGGGGGCCTTGGCAGGGAAAACTTGGAAAAACTAGAAATTACTAGAGAAGAGAACTTTTTCCCCCTTTAGGAAGAGAATTATTTTGGATGAGATAACTACTACTATTGCCTTTTTGAAAGCTGACTTCAGCAATCTCCCTGAACTGACAAGTCATTAGTTTTACATGTCAATCTATTTCCCTCTTGGATCTATTAAGGATACTTTAGGAAATAGACCAAAATTTTGAGAGCATTTTAATAACGTAGAGCTCTTGGTATTCCCCTGATTGATTACATACCCTATTGCTAATTCTTTAATTCAAAATAGATTATTCGTAAAATAATTAAAATGGGCTTAACCTTCTGCAAATCATGTTTTTTCCGCTCTAGAGTTAGTTCAGAGGAATCATTAGTCCTCTTTTACACTATACAAAATCTCTTAAAATTAATGAAGGTTTTATAACATGTATATGATGACTTTAAGTAACACTTTGTGACATGTGAGTATTAGTCACTATTAATGATTTGCTGTTTAAAGTAACAGCTCTCCAGTCAATCATCTGCAATGGTCAGAAAATGCTCATAATTCTTCCTCTTGTTATTTTTCCCATCTCTTGGAACACCCAATGCCAGACGAAGTTTGTGGACCCACTGACCTGCAGCAGTGGTATGATCCAGTCTCCTCTCTGCACACCTGTTTTCTCTCAGCACATAGCACACTGCTCTTCAGTGGTGTTGGCTTGTGTCAATCTCTTTGAGCCACCAATTTCCGGATTTAAAGTTATATGTGATCCATTTCCACGTATACCCTCTGGATTGAATGAGTTTATGTGGTTGACCTCATTTCTAAAACTACGAAAAAAAGCAAGAAAGATTAACATTTATAGTAAAATGAATTACTTACTTAGGCCTTCCATAGGACTGACATTTTTCTACCATGTCTTATTGTCATCAATATACTGAGGATAGTGACTTGGAGCCTAGAGCAATAGTTAAGAACAAGTACTTCATGTGTCCAAATGTATCATCTCACAAATAATGAAAGCCTCTAAGAACTAGGTCCCTTATATGTGATCTTTGCATAGTAGTATCAATATCTCATAGGATTGTTGTTAAAAGAAACAGAATAAAGAAGCTGGCATGCTTAGAATTTTGCCTTACTCAAAGCACTCAGGAAATGGTAGATCTTCTTGTTATTGGTCTTGTGCTTATAAGAACTTCCAAAAATATATGTTTGTAAAATAAGATGAGCACTGATCAGAAGAGTCATAGACAGCCTTACTAGTAGGACTTCCTTATCAAAATATTAACCAAAATGCTTAATATGCTTCACTGATGAAACCCTAGTAAATTTGTGACACAAATAATTGATATGTGTATATTACTGCAAGGTAAATGCAAATGAAGCCCTTGCTCTCTGGGGGCTGACAATCTAGAAGAAGAGACAGGGTAATAAATAAATTGCAATAAATTACACATAGTACAATAAATACTTACAATTTAAAAATGCATGTTTGTGCTGATCTGCATGATAAACAATTGCCGTGTTGCTTGTATATGACAGAAATTCAAAAAGTCAAAGTTGTCAAACACATAATGCAAATTTGAGCTTTATTTTAGCTTCAAATTGAATAAACCCATGAATCAGGATTGACATTTCAACTCACCTTAAATTTTCTATTTGAGGAAGTTCTTGTATTTTTTTTTTAATGGACACAAGACAGAAAACCACTGCATGTATTAAATTGCATTGCCTTACATAGTTTGGGGGAATGAAGCCAAAAAACATCTACCGGATATTCTACTAAATGCTGTTTATGTGAGCCAACAGAAAGAATTAGTTTGCACATCCATATCAAATGCCCACACTCTCAACTCCCCAATTCTTTATATAGCTGTCATGAAACAAAGATAGGCTTAATTGGCTTTGCCAGCAGTAAAGGATAAGCTGTCTTTTTTTTTTTTCCATCTTCACTGGATGCAACTCTCATTCCTGATTTGATACAGAACACCCAACTTCCTCTAAACACGAACCCATATTAGAAAGAATCCATGTACAGATGCAGTTTTGCACATAGTGTCCAGAAAGCAATGACATGCCAAAGTCTCTGGTGCTGTGGAAACTTGTAATTTGGGACCCGTGACTGGCCTTTCCTTTAAGGGGCAAGTGGCTCATGTGGCTCCGGATAGAATGCCACCCCATGCCTGGTATTACATTATGCACTGTCAGAAACCCTGCTACTGATTTATTATTGTTACTTAGGTGCTTTACACCACCTAAAGTCTCATGTGAAACAGACTCTCAGCTCTCAAAACTGTCCTGTTAGAACCAGTCCAAGCATATTACCATTTGTTATAGAGTCATTATAGTCTTTATTGTTAAAAGATTTCCCAACATTTTTGAGAAGCCACTTATTTTTTTCCTTTATTTCTTCTGCTCTCACAGGTTTATCTATAGAACCCCCAATTTAATAACAGAACAAGATAGATAAAAACATATAGTTCTATTGCTTTTTGCATAATAAAATGAAATTTGACTTAATCTGTAAAATATATAAAATAAATGCTTAAATTGCATATTTGGAAATCTTTTCACACAAGTGATGGATAATGTTTTTGCTGTCACATGTGAATGGAGAACAATAGAGTTTTAGATCACAAGTTAACTTTTAAACTTTCATTATATTAACTTTAAATCTTGTTACTTAAGTTTATTTTTGGCCTCTAAATTTATTTACAGAAGTCTGTATGTGGTACAGAAGGTGGAAAATAGGAAAGCTTAGTCTTCAGAAGGCCACATTGTGCTGAGAACATGGCATTCACTCTGTGTTTCTTCACTTGATTGCATTTCAGCCAACATTTTCTTTTTTCTCTCAGGATATTCCATCGACAGTGGATTTGTCTGTTGGGACCCTGTTCATGCCAAGAGACTCACACCTAAACCCAAGCTTTCCTGGGTGAAAGAATTTGTTTGTTAACTCATGCAATGCCCATGTGTAGGCTGACTTCGCATGAGACCTGAGTTAGACACTCAGGATCCTGCTTTTCCTTTTCGGTCACTGGGCTCAGATTCCACTTGCAGTCATACACATATAGGTTGTCTCTTGAAGGTGGTAAAGGGCTGCCTCAATTCCATGTTTCATCATTTCAAGTGCAACTAAGTAGAGCAAGCATCTCAGTCCCGGAAGTTCTAGCCAGCCCAAATCCATGTTTCTGATTGGTTTTGGTGGACTCGTGTGCTGTCACTGCCACCAGGATAATGGTTAGCATTTTCCATCTTTTCCACTTTTGAGTGAAAGTAGTGCCCAGTTGATGCACTTAGGTAAGGAGTGACCAAAAAGTAAATCCCTAAGGAAACTTCTGGAACTTGTACAGAAAACAGTAGAAATGCATGTGGGGCTCATAAGCAAGCAAGCAAGCAAGCACAAAAATGTCCACCACCAAAGGAACACTGTGATGTTCCTGCTAGTGACAACTTAGGCTGTAGGACAAATGATTGTGCTGAAGGATGACTAAGCGAGGGTGCCAGTTGGAGGCACCTAGACCTTTCCAGTGTATGTACCTAACAGTCCCAGAATTTAATTAACCACCTCAACTGCTCTATCACAGTCTTTAGAGCATGATTTTGGTCTACAATGGCGTTCTCAGTACAGAATCCTGTCTGCCGAGGATGCTATATGGAAATCAGCTTTCCTTTCCTCTTTCTTCCTTTCCCTTTGCTGTTTGCTTTCTCTTTAAGATCCCAGAGGGGTGCTCTTTTCACCTCTTCCTTATCACATTCAGCGTTCAGATAACTAATACTCTTGTTTCACATAGCCCAGTGAGAATTTCACATACCCTTTTCCAGAGGATATGCTTTTGAAATGTTATCTCTAATTATGGAAAGAATTGACAAACCAGTATTAACATCAGCAAGAACATTAGTGGAACTATGTACTGTAGAACAGAAACTTCTTTCTAGGACAGTGAAAATCTTTTACCATACACACACAATATTTAAATGTAACACCAGCTCTTGTGGGAAAAAAGAGGGTTCTATTGAGTGACATTAAGGAGACTCTGGAAGACTTAATCTAGGGTCATCCTCTCCACCTTTATGTCTCTTTCAGAAGATTACTGGAGTGGCATTATAACTTCTAGTTTCACTTGGTTGCTGCTTGTCTTAGTCACTTCCTCATTGCTGAGATACAGTGCTTGACACCTGCAGCTTAAAGGAGTAGAGGTTTGTTTTGGCTCACGTTACAGTCCATAGTCAGCCGGCTCCAAGGCAGGATGGCATGGCACAGAGACTTGGCAGAAGAGAGCTGCTCGCAGCATGGCAGACAGGAAGCAGAGGGTCAAGGAAGGATATGACGAGGGAGATACACCCTTGCAGGCTATGGCTTTATCTTTTCTGACCAGACCCTACCTCCTAAGAAGTCAACTAGCAGCCCCCATAATCTAAGCTCTTTCCAAACACATGAAGCTTTGGAGACTATTTTAGATCTCATTTTTAACACCGCTGGCCCCCAGTCCATACCAAATCACTAGAATTGTACCGTTTGATACAGTGACATATGGCTATTTAAATAAAATAAAATTTAAAAATTCAGTTCCCCAGTCTCATTAATCACAATTCAAATCCTCAACAGCCCCTTGTGACTAGTGGGGTGTATTGGGCAGCACAGCATAGGACATTTCTGTAATCTCAGAAACATGGATTGGACAACTCTGCACTAGAAGATGGAGAATCTAACTCTAGAATGAATACTATGCTGTAAACAAAACGTGGTCACTCCTGGAAATTTTAGGGTAGCGCCATTTCCCAGGGAAAAGATGTATAGCTTCAGAAGGTGCATAACCATCTACTAAGCCACAGCATTATCCAATCTACAGGAAATTTCTCTGGAGAGTGTCTTTTCCCGGTTGTACATAGTAGGCCTGCCATCCATCACCACACTTCTGTAAGATGCATGCCAACGGTTGTGACATTTGTTTAGGTGCTCCTGTTACATATTATTTCCTACAGTAGCCCTTATGTATCTGAGAATCTTATGTGGCAACCACCCACATGTATTGTAAGAAAGTTAAAAATCAGGAATTTAAAATGGTAGTAGCCAAACAATAACAATGAAAACAACAGCAAAAACAAAGATACATGGCAATCAACCAAACAACTGAACACATTTCTCCGAAAGGTCCTATTTGTCAGACAATATACTGGTCCTGGTGACATGTGAGTCTCTGCCTTCATTATGGCTTTTATAGCTTTAACATTAGCCACAATTAGCCCTTATTTTATTAGAGCCTATTAATTTCAACATCTTGGAGGGCAGATATACAAATGTCCTGGATGACGCTTAGCGGCTTCCAATTTAGCTCTGGAGCCGTTTTCCAGTGCGTGCACGTCACCATCTTACGCAGGGCTCTTGAGAATGCTTCCTGAGCAAAGGGAGCTTGTGTAATTCAGTCAGTCATATCCTTTGGACTCACTTCAATACGGACAGGACCTCTGTGGTGATAAGCGCATGGCATACTTCTCAGTGCCTCCCGTGACCCAGACAAGGGTTAGATTATGGTGTCACATGACCTCCAGTGCCATTCCGCTAGAGTCACAGAGTCTTTAGTATTTCTGTCTCCTGAGAGCTGGCATGACAAGTATACATTTGGCCTTAGCATGTGGTTATGTGAGATCATTAGCCCGGATGAGGATAGGAGTGAATTCACTCAAGTTTCTGAAAGGACAGGTGAAGTATGTATTGCCTGCAAGTTAAGGTTGATATCCCCAGCAAGATTCTGCCTCATGCTGGGTAAATGCTTAGTCAAACAAGCAACTTAAAGATCAGCCATCGCTTCAGTGCCTCTGAGAAGTT